GCATGTGTGTGTGTGTGTGTGTGTGTGTTTGTGTGAGCATGGAGATGAAAAAGAGAAATACCGCGAGAGTTTACGAGGAATGCTGTTTATCTATGTGGGTTTGAAAAGTTGTGTTTGAGTGTGAAGATCGATAGAAATAAAAGAGAGAGAGAGAGAGAGAGAGAGAGAGAGAGAGAGAGAGAGAGAGAGAGAGAGAGAGAGAGAGAGAAAGAGAGAGAGAGAGACAGATGCGTATGAGGCTGTGGGAGTTAGAGTGAGTGCATATTGGAGAAAGAGAGAGAGGGGTGGTGGCGAGAGGGAGAGAGAGAAAGGGAGAAAGAATAAGAGAAAGAGAGGGCAGAATGAGTGAGTGAGTGAGAGAGAGAGAGAAAGAGAGAGAGAGAGAGAGAGAGAGAGAGAGAAAGAGAGAGAAAGAGAGAAAATTGTTTTGCTTGAAAATGTTCAAAGTTAAAGAACGTGCATGGTATGGGTTTAAGAAAGTGGGAGATGAGAATATACTTGTAAAAGCAAAACCTCTACCATCTTTAGATATTTTTAAAATCTAGGTGGCTTTTACACCTCCATTGACACACTTTAGATTATTCGGGAGGCATGCGTCAGACCCTGCCTGTCAGTGCCAACTAGGCCAACCTATGGGGGAGGGGGGATATAACATCCCAGAAGAAAGACAGAGGTACTCGATAAAAAAGTTCTCCCTGCTCGAGAATCGAATTTGAGTCTCCAGTGTGTGACAACGAAGCACCTTATCGACACATCACAGACACCTGTCCATATTACGGTTCCAAACCGAATTACAAAAAGTTTATTGAATACAACAAATATGGGGTGGTGTGGCAGAGAAAAACAGACACTTATTCTCTTATTCAAATTTTTAATTGACACTGCCATACTTGAGCCCATTCAGTTTCCTTTATGTCACATTTTATATTGTTAAAATACGCGGACACTTGACGGAAAAAAAGTATAAAATTATTATACTTTAAAAACTGTGTTAAGCACAAAGCTGAGGAAAGCATGTTTAAAGAGACATATTATTTTGTTACCCAGGACAAAATAGATGGTGAAACAATATTCAAATGAAGTGCTTTAAAAATACATTATCGTAGGTTACCTTTTCAATTGTTTTCATTTTATTCCGTTTACCTTTAACTTTATGTCTACCGAAATATTTATGCAAATTTGTCAGAATTATTAAGCAGAGGCTTATCATAAATTTCGTTAGCAATGATTACGATTTAGTGACTTTCAACTCTGATTTGGAATCCTCAGAATTTTGGAACACAATTTTTAATAGATGGTGTGTTTTTGTCTAACGTCTCACATCGATAGTCTTGCAGGGGTGCTTCTGCAGAAAAAGAACCCAGCACAAAAAGAGGCCACACAATATAACCAGTCCCCCTGTGCGTGAGTTTAAACTCAAGTTGAAAATTATAAGAATCTACGACACGACAATCACGTTTGTCACTCCTTAAGTGATATTACACAACAGCAAATACCCGTTATATATTGTCGCACAAACGTGAAAGGAAAAAGGATTTGAAAGGCAGAGGAGAAAGAGGCTAAAACATCACATCAACATAGATGAATGATGCTTCTACTATTTTTATTTATTTTTTAAATATCAATATACAAATTAATAATTCGATATCCTAATGTGAGATTGCAGAGCAAGGTTGGACGCGAAGGGGCAGAGACACTGATTGCATACAAGAACAACAGATGCGTTTAATTAAGCCCCTCTCCTTTCAACCTTTTAGTTTTTTTTGTTCTCTTATAGCACCTTGACCCTGACAGGCAGGGTCCGAACGGCCGGCTCTCTAAACTATTTTAAGTTTATCGACAGGAGCGGAAACCGTTTGAAATTACAATTTCCTTTTTGGTCCGGCTCTTGGGAATCCCCAAATCCCTGTAGATCCCTTATGGCCGGCGAGAAAGGTCGTTTCTATTGGAATTTTGTGATATATCATTTCCCCAGTGCTTTTTTTTCGAGATACCAATATTATAGCTCTTAACTGGAACTGGGGGTACTCTGATGTATACTCTGTTACACACATTTAAGCTGGTGAGCGTCAATACTTCGTACAGAACAATACAAGACTAATCATGTGTTAGTTTTACGTAGATGATTTATTTTTTATTTGTACGAGTTATACGGCAATTGCAACACAATAAGGTCAATTGAGAAGAGGTGTTACAAGAAAATATTAAAAAACACAAAAAAGGACAGATCACAATGATAGATGTTTGGTAAGAAAAAAGGAGATAAACACACCAGAGCACCCGCCAACCGCCCACATATAGGATATAACATTTTTCGGATGCACGGCGGAAACATATTTTTATTTAGACAAGTCAGTATCTGCCAACCGGAACGATACCGTTCACAGGTGGGTTATTTGGACATTTTGGTGAACGGTGGAGATCACTTGAGAAGTGGCAAGTCTCGGAAATACGACAAGTAAGCTGGTGGATCGAAAATCGTCGCATCTTAAAGATGGTAGGCATTCTCGTGGGCTCTAGTTATTAAAACTGATCTAGACGTTAGAAAAGCAATAATATGTGTGCCATTTGGCTATTATTACTTCTCCTGCAGGGATTTAAAATTGAACAGAATATTGATGCCAGGGAAAACAAAAATAGTACCAAAACCCCTGTCTAACAGTCCCACTGTCACCCTAATTGAGTTCAAATCTTGCGTTCACTACATGTTAAGTATAATGTATATTTATTACGACTTCTCAGGATAGTTACTCTAATTCTCAGCAGAGAATCATAATTGTAGATAATCCAGCCACTAAGATAGCCTACTTTATTATGTCTCCCTACTTCTGTCATAGTTTCTCTGATTTCGTTATTCGGCCGACATCCTTCCCTTCACGTTTTTACTTAAGTCAGCATTATTCCCGTGCCTTCTGTATTTTCTTGGTTTTCTTCACTCCACTTTCAACCAAGCCTTTTAAGAATCAGATGACCGGGTTATTTCATCTTACAACAGGACCCCAGCGCCCAAACGCCATTCATACTGTTCTAGTGACACCTAGCGTGGCCATCCCTTACAGCTAACTTGGTACAGTGAGGGGAAAATCTGTACCTTGTGACTGACAGAATCCATGCGCCAAGTGACTCTTCAGTTGTCTGGTTATTCACGAAATATCGTACTTCACTGACCTCTTTCCCATTGTGACCGGGAGATTAATGGAACATTGCGAGCACAACTAGGCTGTATAGTTGTGCTTTGCTTAGCTTTTTTCAAAACGATCGCTATATCTTGGCGAGCTGTTTACCTGTTGTTCTAAACCTAAAAAGCTAAAACGTTAAGGCTTTTTTATAAAAGCTGTTACATTCTTTTAATAAATGAATCCACGCGAAGCTGGCGTTTTCCACGCTTAGAATTCAAAATATACTTCAAGAATATGCATTCGATGGCACAGATTTAAAAATTTAACCAAAATATTTCATAATTTTGAATTTTATACTCCAGACACATACACATAGCCGACGGTATTCCTATTAAGTATTTCAATAAATCCTCATACTAGATCTAGTACATTTACCCTCAGAGGCGGTGCTACTGACTGAAGTGTCTGTAGGCCACTCCCAAAGAGGGGACATTAACATGCTCTAAAGCACTGTTAGAATTGTAAATGAACTGATTCATCTATGTCATGCTCTTAAATGTGCCTGAACTGCAACCGGGAACTACTGCTTTTTCTTTCCTAATCCTCATGTTCTTCATTTTTCCTCTACTTCTTTTTTTATTTTTGTCACACTCTTGTGACCTGCTATTTCCGGGTTGTTTGATAGTCGAAGCAGATTTTGTGCTGTTGAATCTATAGAGGTGAGCAGAGTAAGCCTGGTTCCCTGTAAGGACTTGTCTGTTGACATCCACCCCTAGGCTCTCATATGACCTTATGCAGTTGCGAGCGCCGTAAAACCTCTACTAAAACTAAACTTATCCCAGTACATGAAATTTGTTTAATATGGCCTCCCTTTGCCACACTTAAAGCAATGTTTTATTACCATTTCCTTTCGGCCCTATTGA